TTAACGTTTCTTTTTTAAAATAACTTAAACTTTGTTTAGAAAACAAAATTACTGACAAGAAAATTCTGAACAGAATAAAATCAAAATGATTTGACCTTGTAGTGTTGCTGTAGATGAAATCAGATTGAAACACACTGTGGCTGGATTTTGTGCAGGTGATGCTGGGAGGCAAGAACATCGAGGAAGGTTTTGGCATTGCATATCGAGTAATACAGGTGAGCAGTTCTGGCGCTCCACATAAAGCCCTGGTGTCATTCAGACATGACTCTGATTGCTGTTGTCGTTCTTGTGCTGCAGGATTTCCAGCTGGAGGCTCTGGCGGTCTACATCCGGGTGGGTCAGCGGCTGGTCCGGCAGCGGCAGTATTCCTCTGTGCGGCAGCTGCACAAATGTGTTGGAGAGTCTGGGACGGCCTCCAAACACGACTGTGACGCCATTGTGCTCAGCTGTGTGTCTGTGGCTGATAAGAGCCCTGCTGATGTGAGTCATCAACATAATGATCTCTGGGCTAATCGCACGCTATTAATAATGAATTCAATGATAATTACATTTGTAAATATTTCATGAAAAAGTATATGCTTATGTGCTTTATTTAGTGGTGAATATGTAATGTGTGTATTTAAATATAGTGTGTGTACTTTTTTGTGAAAGGTACTTTTGTGTAATTATGTATTTGTATAATATACTATATGGAATTAAATGTAGAAATTTAATAACAAATTATATATTACAAATATATAAATATATTACAAAAAAAGCAAAACTGTCCATATAAAAAAGACTAATTTAATTGCAGGTTTAAAATACTATATATATAGCTGTATATCAGCACTGTTGGGAGGCATGCATTGGCTCGAGGTTGTAGGTTGAGTGCCTTAGGCTATGTTCACACTGCAGGCCAAATGTGACCCAAATCTGATTTTTTTGCCAACATGTGCCTCAGCTCTCTTTTTGTCTTGATTAGCCCAAACCGCATGGAATCTGATCTTTTTAATTCAGATTTGTGCCACTTTCATATGCAGTGTTAAATCAGACACAGATCAGATGTTTTAGCAATGCGACCGCAGTGTGAACGGTTGTGTAGGATTTCATGTGAATTTACATGATCTTTGAGTGACATGCGTCATCATTCTGTGCTGCAATCATCATCTTCTACTCAGCAGAATAGTAGAATGACGCACAGGGCAATTAATTTACCACAGATGGTTGGTTGTTCCTTTTGAAAACAACTTTGAAGGCAAAACCGGTGCTTTTTAACCAATCAGGGGAGCATTTCCGAAAACTATGGATAGCCTGCTAAGGTTGCAAGGTCTGTCATTACAAACTTAGTTTGATGATTTGGCGTTTCCCAAATTCATCGCTTCAACGAACATTCGCAAACTGCGTCGCAAGTTTGTATGCTTACAACTACACCTCTGGAGCTGTAGTTAAATATTGTGTTTTATTCCCAGTTATCCCCCCTATGCCTTATTCGTTTAGAACATTCTAACATTTTAACTTAAAATGATTATTTTAAAAAATGCTTAAAAGTCATCACTCTTGGGTGTAATTTGCTTTTAAATTATTTTTACAGCGATCTTCCTATTGACAATTCATTACCTCTGAATTATAAGGTTCTGTCTGCGTTCTGAATGATTTGGAGATATTGAGCTTCAAAGATTTTGCATTCCAAAGCAATGTGTGTAACATAAATATATATATACATTTTTTTTTTTAATAAAAAGTCTTAAAATGTGAACAACTTATAAAAAACATCCATAATGTAAATACGTTGTCAATTAAAAAGAATATGTCAATAACTAAATTTTGACAAAAATTTCAGATAGAAGCATATAATTCCAAGGTGACTAATTGCGTTCTCTTCGCAGTGCACTTTAAAAACATTGTTATGGGCTCTATAGGTGACCTATTATTTAAAAGCAGAATTTATGTTACGTCTCCAAAGCTTGTGAAAACAAAAAACAGCATATGTAATGCTTTTAATTTATAGTTTATTTTATATTTTTAATTTATAGTTTTATTTATTAAGTATCTGTACTGTATATGACATGAGTCTGTTGGTTAGAACATTTTTTCAGTGGTTAACGTGTCAAATTGTAAAAGTAGAATTTTCAAAAAATAAATTAACAATATCCTCCTTAATAATTATTATCATCATCATCATCATCATCATCATCATCATTATTAATATTATAAAGCATGTGCGCAAAATACAATATAATTTGCACAAATGAAATCTGGGGTTCTTCTCTGAAGAAGTTGTTATTCCACCTCGTTTAGTGAACCATTGTGGGCGTTTTACATTATAACTAACGTGGTTTAAACGATGGATCTGCGACAGAGAAACACAGGTTTTGGGAAACACTTGTCACTACATCGTTCTTTTTCCAAACTATGCATTGTACTATAATAGTTCAGCCGTGAGTTACGTCGTTGTTTGGGAAACACACCCCTGGTTAACGATTGGGGCACAGGTTGAGAGTCAGACCTGAGAAAAAATCCAATTTGAGCACTAAGCTTTGCTGTGTGGACATAGCTTTAGTGCCGCAGCAGTACCAATATACACCCATATCGGTTATAGTGTGATAATGTGTTTATACAACAGTTTGACAGGATAATTGTGTATATCAAGAAGAAAATCAAACACGAAGCGTCTTAAAAACCCTTAAAAAAGACTTTTTTCCCCCATTTACATATATTCATAAAACATGCTATACGTATATACATTGTATATTACTATATAGAATTAATTTTTATAATATTCTTATATTTTATGAATAATGATTATTACAATAATGAATTATTTTGCTGCCTAATTTACAGGTTTAAATCTTTTTTTCTTTTGCCTAGGCTAAAGAACTCGAGACTCTGATTCTAGAGTGTAAGAATCCAGAAAACAAGGTGAGTTTTTATTTTTCATACTCTTTTTCTTTTAGAAGTGTTTTTTTCTCTTTCTCTCGTTCATCCACTTTTCTTTCTCTATCTGTGTAGATAAAGGCGTATCTGCAGTGCTCTAAGCTGAGGGCTGCGTATCTTCAGGCGGTGAAACTAAAACTTGTAAAAGCAACTCCACTGATACAAGAAGTGATGCGAGCAGCCGAGAGCTCAGGTGACTCTGTCATGCATGACATCTGCCGCCAGTGGCTCTCAGAGCATCAAGAGCCATCATCAAAACAAAGATAACCACTATCAATCCTGATTCTGATTGGTCACTGAAGTGTCCTGCTCTACTCTGATTGGCCAGAATCAGATTATAGGACAGGAAATCAATCACCTTTGTGCCACTTTTATAACATCATATTCATTCACATCGTAGTTTAGTTTAGAACCAGTCAAGCTCACAGAAAGAAAAAAAATAATCTGATGAAGGTTTGATTAAATGGCACAAGGCCTTTTAATCCATTGTACCATACTGGAAAGAAAACTATAATCTCTAACAGAGCTGGAACCGAATTCAGTACTACTTCAGTGTTGGACTGAGCTTTTTCTTCCTACCTCAGACTTAGTTTTCTCATCATATGTCAGAAAACCGATCACTGTGTCTAAATCTCATCCTAAAGGAACAAAGTCGCCGGCGTATTAATTCCTGTTTGGGTTCACGGTAAGTTTACTATGGTGTCACTGAAAATTAAGAATATAATCTTTATATTGGTCCTCATTCGGATGTGGTTGGACTACAAGAAACAGTATTAAAAGGGAATTTAGAAGGTGTGATCAAAGATATTATGATGAGCAAGCTCTAATCATAAATACTGTAAAAAAGGGACACAGCAATTTGAAAAATACTGTATCAGTGAAATATTGCTTATGTGTTTGACCCTACAGTCGGATTATGAGCGTCTGCGCGTATGTGTGTGTTTGTGTGTTGAAACTCTCTGACCCTCATGTAATTTGTAATATAAAGTTGAATCTGTGCGTTTGTGTAAATGTTGTGTAAAGTAAATCTCTTTAAAAAATGGACAGGGCGTTCACTCTGTTTTAGGGACATGTTAAATGTATTGTTCACTCAAAAATGAAAGGTCTTGTCATTAGTTATTCATCTCCATGTCATTTCAACCCTATACAAAGACAATTATATTTGGGACAGACGTCCAGGCAGACGTCCAAGACGTCCAAGGCAGACGTCATTGGAGAAAAATGAATTCACGGTATGAGGGAAAATGTATTTAGAGCTGTGGAGAAATGAAGAGACCACTGAATTTCTCTAAAACATTTTTCTATGAATAAAGTGACAAGGAGGCATTTACAGACATGTTTAAATTAATTTTTAGCCAATGCAATACTAATAGAGTTAAGAAATCAATATTTGGTGGAATAACCCTGATTTTTCACAGCTAAAACATGTTACATCTTTCTAGGACAAAAAAAAAAGTTAAATTTATTAAAAATTATTAAACTTAAATTACATAAAATGTCTTATCTTTTAATTTAAATTTGTAACACCAGATTGCTATAGAATAAACAAATCCTTACCTTTTAAATCAAAAGAAAATAATTCTGAAATTATCTCTTAATTTACCCCTATAATTGTATGCATGTACAGTATGTATCTGCACACAGGTGATTAAATGATGACAATTTTCATTTTTGAATGGAAAAATCCCTTTAAAGTGCTATTGTTTATTTTATTATTTTATTTTGAGAATAGAAAAAGACATGAAATAAATCTGCTCGCAAGGTCTATGCACATATTACAATGTATGCGACTGTTACAGACACTTTGCCAAAGAGACTGTATTAAATTCATTCAATCAGGGTGACAAATGTCAGCAAATGTACACTGAAGGGAGATATTAATTAAAACAGTAATTAAATTATATTTGTCTATCCAAAAATACTGACTTCTTATCTAACTAAATAAATGATTTCAGTTTTTTAGAATAATGTTTCATTTTTAAAACTTTTATTATTTTAATAATGACTCATCATTTGTTAATATTTCCTTGTGTATTTGTATTATTTAGCAAATGAAATAAAAAATACAAAAATGACACATTTTGTTTTGTCACTGTATATATTTAAATATTCGTCTCTGATTATGAATGTACCACAGTAGTCAAAAGCACATCTGTATAAAAGATTTCAATATGCAGCTTCATGTGAGAATACTGAGATGAGAATTAAAGCAGCGTTCAAAATACCAACACAATAAAACACGTTTTAAAATGCCTTACAGAGAGTTCCAGAGTAAAACCAACTCAAAACGTGCTTGTCACAAAGGCATTATAGAAGAAAATTGTAGGTTGTGCAACTGAAAGCCAATACAAAAACAAATACCTAACGAAAACCAAACAAATATCTAACGAAAGACATGAAAAATGATCGCTGAAAATGTTTGAGAATTAAGCATGGAGAAATAAAGCAGGTCAAATGAACGTTTCAGTCCCACTCGATGCCTAATAATTCACAGCTTACATCCCACAGTTTGCGCGCCGTTTCCTCGCTCCGTCCCTGAGGGGCCACAAAAGCAGGAGCGCAGTCACTGTGTGGGAGAGAAAGAGAGCGTCAACTGTGTGCCAATACCAAAGACACCATAAATTATTCAGCAGCTACAGTACAGGACAATATCTTTATTAAATTATGCAGGGCTCGAGGATAGCTGAGGAGTTTCCTGCTGGCCCAGCGGTTCAAATTTGAACTTGGCTTGATACAATAGTTTCTATTTTCATTATTTTTAAACATGTAACTAGTAATTTCTAGTGAATACGCTTAATATGATCTGAGTGACATTTCACAATTGTTGATTTTTCTAAGAAATGTTTACATTTAACCCATTTCCAACCGTTAAATAAATAGTTCACCCAAAGATGTAAATTCTGTCATCATTGAATCATCCTTCTGCTTTTCCAAACCTGTTTGAGTTTCTTTCTTCTGTTGAACACGAAGATATATTGAAGAATGTTGGGGAAAAAAGCAGCCATTGATTTCCATTGTATTTTTGTTCCTAACTTCCTACTATGGATGTCAATGGCTGCTTTTTTCTACATTCTTCAGAGTATCTTGTTTTGTGTTCAACATTTTCAAGTGAACTATTCCTTAACAAGGAAACTGGCCAAAATTGGTATTTTTACATAATTAGTTTCAAGCCAATAATTTTCATAAAACAAGATGAGGAAAGAAACCTCAAGACATTTCATTTGGAAATCCAGTGATAACCATTCTATTATAAAAAAAACCCACGGCTAAAAAAAAAAAAAGAAACTATGCCTGACAACCTTATCAGTGAGCAGGCTTCCAGGCACTACAGTATTTGGTGTCAGAATAGGCAAAGGTGCCCATTTGTGATAGTTTGGTTAAGGAAAATTGTGATAATTGTGCAGTGGAACCTGGGATGTATTATTCACTGTGACTGTAGGGCCACAGTGCAACAAATCACCAGCAGCTACAACAGGGGTGACCAGGTTAAAGTGTCACAGTGTGAAGTATATTGCAGTCTTTTGTGTATGGGCCTCACATCAAAGGCTGAACATGACATTTTAGGCCCCTTGTCACAGAAACAAAATCCATAACTGCTGTTAGGCTTCTGTATATTGTTCCAGAGACTAGCTAATTCAGCGAATTGCTTTTGGCTGCTGTTTCATGGTATAAAGGATGTCTTAAGTAGATGTCCATAATGTGATGGCATCAAAACAAATATAAACACATTTTAATGGTAGTGTAGGCTAGACTTCTACATTTAACACTCCCTGATTATTTCTCTTTATCTTTACTATATAGTATGGAAGTACGCAAATTTGAATGCAGCCTAGCACTCTATAGAGCAGGGGTCTCAAACTCAATTTACCTGGGGGCCGCAGGAGGCAAAGTCTGGGTGAGGCTGGGCCGCATAAGGGATTTCACAAAAAAAAGTCTTCAAATGTCATTATTAACAGTTTTAATTATTTCTTCTGAACATGAAGTGTCCTGAACATTAATAGAACATTGAGTGAAGATTATGAACAGTTCTTCTAAACATGGCATCTTTTGCCTACTTCTTGCTGCCAGAGACTTGACAGCGCTTCTTCTCACAAATCTGAACCACATTTTACTTCAGAGCGGAAGCAGTTGAGACCCTCAGTATGGCTTGAAGATGATCATCATTAAGTCCAGACCTGTCTAGACTCACTCAAAACTTCCATTCCCTTACCTAAAAAAAGGCGTATATATGTATAAATAAAACACCCCCACCCCACTCCAGTCACATCAGTCTGTACCAGTCTGTATCTACCTATAATATATATAAGATGCAGGCTGTAGCTAGGTAGCTAAGTGGCAGGCAGGGGCGGGAACAGCTTACCTTGGTTCTGGCTTGCGCGAGTTCCCTCCTTCCCGCCCGTCACAGCGTCTAACAAAGGGGCGGTGTGCGTGGTGACGTCACCGGCATCCCCGCCCCTTTGTTTGCACGGCGGGCGGGGAATGCCAGTGACCGCTGTGTACGGATAGAATCAGCGGAGCGGGGAGCGCTCTCTCTCCCCGCTCCGCTGATTCTGTCAGTGTACAGCGGTCGGCGCGGGCCACAAAATATTGCACTGAGGGCCGCAAATGGCCCGCGGGCCGCGAGTTTGAGACCCCTGCTATAGACCCTTTTCACAAGAGTGTTATGACATGTTTAATGGTCATCAGCATCTTAAATCCTTGAATTTTTTAAATATATATATATTTTTTTTACCCATATAAGCATTTATATGTATTTATGTATGTATTTTATCATCTTTGCGTTAAATAACAAATGTTTCTAATGCACGTTTATGGGGCAGGACAGTAAATATGACGTTGTTTTCTTGTCTGGCTGCCGTTATCAGTCTCAAACTATTTTCATTTTTCTGAAAGTCTTGATAACACCATTGTGGAGCTTTTTTTTCATTATTTTAGCAAAAAGGGTTGTAAAAAAATTGTTGCACTTCCATTCACTGCGCTCAAAGGTAATGCGACTATGATGACCTCCGCTACTGAGAAACCTGGAAATGTGAAAAGGGTCCATTTTATATTGTATGCACTACTATGTAAAAGTTGAGAACTGCTGTTTTAATAACCGCACCCTTGCTGATACAGTTTATTAATATCCAGCATGTGTTAAATAATGTGTGTCTTCCATGACAAGCGTTCTGGAGTTTGCCGTACCTGAAATGTTTGCCTGAGATTGACTGGAGCTCCTCAGCGACGGCGCAGTAGATGGAGGTCTGAGCGCCTTCTTTCGGGGATTTCAGGAACATCGAGAAGAAAGCGAACAGCAGGGACATCAGCGTAGAATGACGCACCAGCTCTGACCTCACCGTTCCAGGATGCACAGAGTTCACAGTCACATTCGACCCTGATCATCACATACAAGTCAAACTCACATTTTCTGCAGGTACCATTTCAGTTATTCATGTCGAATCATTATTTGAGTTACCCTGGAGTCTGCGCGCCAGCTCACGAGTGAAAAGCACGTTAGCGAGTTTGCTCTGGCAGTAGGCAAGTCCGCTGTTGTAGCTGCCCTGACTGTGCAGGTCGTGGAATCGAATCCACCCGAAGTTATGTGCCAGGGAGGAAACGACCACGATTCGTGAAGGAGCGCTACGCTTCAGCAGACCAATGAGGAGATACGTCAGCAGGTAGTGACCTGGATGAAAAAAAGGATTATTTACAATATTTTTGTCATAATTTTTATATGCTGAAATGTGCTCATGTAATGCTAGTTTTATTTTATTTTTTGGTCATTTGTTAATATACAGTTGAAGTCAAAATTATTAGCCCCCTGTATAAATTTTTTTCCCAATTTCTGTTGATTTTTCAACAAATTTCTAATCATAACAGTTTTAGTAATTCATTTCTAATAACTGGTTTATTTTATCTTTGCCATGATGACAGTACATAATATTTTACTAAATATTTTTCAAGAAACTTCTATACAGCTTAAAGTGAAATTTACAGGCTTAACTAGGTTAATTAGGTTAAGCAAGTCATTGTATAATGATGGATTGTTCTGTAGACTATCAAAAAAATAAAGTGCTCAATAGGGCTAATAATATTGACCTTAAAAAATGACTCAATAAAAAAAGGCTTTTATTCTAGACAAAATAAAACAAGTAAGACTTTCTCCAGAAGAAAACATTAGGAAATACTGTGAAAAATTTATTTGAGAAATATTTGAAAAACAACAAAAAAAAGGCTGATAATTTTGACTTTAACTGTATATTTTTAATACCTCATTTGAGTTTAAATGTATGATCTTTCTATTCCTAATGCTGTTGGCGACCAAATTCTTATTTTAATTATATGACTTTAATAAAATTCTTTTGTTTAAATGCACTAAAATATATTATCTATAACACTGAGAAATTGATGTAACAGAGGCCAGTTAGCGAAGTGCTATGCAGGTAAACTTCACTCCTCTGACCTCCAAAGTTGCTCTAGCAACAGACACTAAAGGTCATGGTCTTTAGCCTCCTTTTACAGCAACCGACTCCCATGCAAAGAATCACCGGTTCGATCCCCTCTCAGATTGGGTTGTGTGCGGTAGGATTGGTGAGGTACATGTGGGGACTCGTCCTGGATGGGGTGAGTAATGAAGGCCAGCTAGTAAAGTGCTATGCAGGTAAACCTCACTCCTCTGACCTCAAAGAGATCATGGTCTTTAGCCTCCTTGTTAGAGCAACCGACTCTCCCATGCAAAGAATCGCTAATTTGTTCCCGGCTCAGACTGGGTTAGTTGCAGTAGGACCGGTGGGTTACATAGATTAAAAAAAATCTATATAATAATTTTTTTAATATACATTTAAAAATATATTTTTAATAGTTTTAGCTTTATTTCAGGAAACAAAATTGATTTTGAAAGTTTTTTAAGGTTTAATTATCAACAACACTGGAAGCTTCCATCTTAGGTCAATTCTGAAACTGTGAACTTTAATATTTCTCTAAATATCTTAATAATGCCATGCAAAAACATACCTATTACCTGAAAGTTATCACTAAATCACATCTTAAATAGGCGTCCTAAAATAATTATTGTCTGTAGTGTTGTAGTCTCAGCTTCAGATGTCACGGCAAGCAACGGCCATGGACCTTTGACTAAATGTCTGATACATATGGCACACTTTCCTGGAATACTTTCGCCATCGTCCTCTGATTTGCTTAAATATACAGGATTACTTAGAGTGGAGTGTGCAGCAATCTTCATCACCTGGAAGTAAGACTGAGCGAATGAAAAAGCTGCCAATCTATGTTTATATTGATGAAATGGCTCATTAATTAACCTATAACTTTCTGAGACAGTCATGAATCAGTGATTTTCTGCCTGCACAGCTGTCTGTTATTGTGAGGATAACTGTGTGACGATGAGCATTTATCAATTTGACTTAAATTCTAGATTATTAAAAAGTATACAATACTCGCTGTTCCACCTGTGATGTCAACAAACACGCAGGTATGCTTATATTCTTGCTTTTTTCTAATGGTAGTGAAAACCGTTAAATATTGTGTCTTTTTGCTCACGAAGATCAGAGAAACACATCATTCAGATTGGTAACTGTTTTTTATGTGGATGAGGAATGATGCTGCTATTCTGAGGACAGTTCCACTCTCCAAAACAGTGCAGCACGAAATGAAACGTGATTGATTGATTAACCATTCAGTCGGACCAAGTTGGCCAAAGTTCCCAGAACTTCAGCCATCAGTCTAAAGTTGGCGACATGAGAATAGCAGTGTTATGGCCATTTTTTTTTTTTTTTACAGTAATGCAGCAATGTTTCTTACAGGGATAGCTCACCCAAAAATACTAATTAGCACTTTTTGCTCACCCTCAAGTGGTTCCAAACATTTATGTGTTTCTTTTGTATGTTGTGCACAAAAGAAGACATTTTGAAGAAATCAAATAGATTCGTAGCAGGAACAGCAAATCCTATAAGTCAAATAACAGGTTTACAGTCTCTTCACAATATCTTCTTGTGTGTCCAATCAGGAAAGAAACTCTTGAAGGTTTGTGACAAGTGAAGAGAGAGTGCATTATGACAGTTTTCAGTTTTGGGTGAACTACCCCTTTAATTTATACAAAAAAATCATGTCTCACTTTGCTATTTAATACAGATACAGATAAATACAACTATTATTAAAACTCACCAAGATGATTGACCCCGATCTGCATCTCAAATCCATCAGCAGTTTTCATATAAGGACACATCATGACACCAGCATTGTTGATGAGGATGTGCAGGTGATCCACCTCTGAATGAAGAAAAAAAAAAGTATTAACTGTAAATAAACTCAAATATCTGAGGGTTATCTACAGTTTGCCATTTCTGGTGGTCATAAATCAGCACCTCTGAGGAATCTCTGTGCGAAGGCTCTGATGGAGCAGCAGTCCGCCAGGTCTAGCTCTCGCACCTCCACTTTTGCTCCTCCCACTCTTGTGCGGATCTCCGCCGCCGCCTCCTCTGCTTTCTCCAAATCCCGACACGCTAGAATCACTCGAGCTCCTGGAGGAACAACAGCGAGACCATCAATCTGTATTTACAACCGCCTTACAATTTAAAATGATTTAAGTAGTCATTTCTGGAAAAAACAAGTTGTTCAGGATTCACTTGGACTGACCTCGAGAAGCCAAATCCAGAGCTGTTTCTTTTCCAATTCCTGAGTTTGCTCCTGTGACCAATGCAACTTTTCCATCTAACCGCACTGTGGATCGACATGATCCTCCTGCGGCGTATTTCCTGCGTAAATGTTGTGAAATCTGTCAGCTTTTTTCTAAAGACACTCAAAATGAGTTCCAAGTATTAGAATAAGCTTCATCATCAATCAATCAACAAAGCAAGAGACAACAGTCACCCATCATCCCAACCATCATCCCTCCCCCGGGTCCTGTTTCAGTAAGGAGGTCCAACCAACTCGGAGTTTAAACTTGAACTTGACTTATGAGAGATTAAAAAGTTTAATCTCAGAGTTTTCTGTTCAGAACAGCTGATCTGAGTTAGGTCAATCAAGTCTGAGTAGACTAAATCAGAGTTAAGCGGGCACAACGCGACTATAAAAAGGCATTATCAATGGAGTGCAGGTATTACGAGTCACCATGACAACATCTGAAAAAAAAAAAAAAAAAAAGAGAGATCAGCATTTCTTTCTCCAGCTGAACTTGATGTGCTCATGCAAAGTTAAAGCAAATCTGAGCATATATTTAAAAAAAAAAAGCAACACCACTGCATCAGCCAAACAGAGACAGGTAGTGTGGGAAAATATAGGTGCTCAAGTTAATACACAAGTTTACATTTAAAATGATTAAAGTATGTAAATATTTAAGTATAATAAAAGAATACGTAATGTAATGTGTGAGGTTTATTGACTTATCTCTTGAAACGTGGGGAATTGGCTGTAGTTTTGAAGGTATTTCAGATGTAATTGCATTAAATTACTTAAAATAGGCAACTGCATAGTTTCTACAGTGGCGCAGTAGGTTGTGCTGTCGCCTCACAGCAAGAAGGTCGCTGGTTCGAACCTCGGCTCAGTTGCCGTTTCTGTGTGGAGTTTATATGTTCTCCCTGCCTTCGTGTGGGTTTCCTCCGGGTGCTCTGGTTTTCCCCACAGTCCAAAGACATGCGGTACAGGTGAATTGGGTAGGCTAAATTGTCCGTAGTGTATGAGTGTGTGTGGATGTTTCCCAGAGATGGGTTGCGGCTGGAAGGGTATCCGCTGCATAAAAACTTGCTGGATAAGTTGGCGGTTTATTCCGCTGTAGCGACCCCAGATTAATAAAGGGACTAAGCCGACAAGAAAATGAATGAATGAATGAATGAATAGTTTCTACAACAAATTTGACAAAATAAGAATGCAGATAACCTTAACTTAATGTTCAGTGGAAATGTTTAATTTAAGGCTTCCAGTTTTACACATGTTGATCGGTTTAAGATTCAATTTCTAAAATTGAGTTTTTAAAAGTCCACTTGTTATTAAGCGCACTTTTTTATTAAGTTGTCGAGGTTGATATGACATTTAGAATCTAAGCAGTACTAAAAAAATGTTTTTAGAAAGAGTAATAATCCCAATTATTTAGTTACAGTACATGTCACTGTTGATGGTCAGTGAATTTAAGATAATTATTCATTAAAAAAAGGACTAGCCATTCTTATAACTTTGTTATTTGTGTGACTGAAATGTAGTCCATGAATGGCTAAGGTGAGAAATACTGCTTTATCTTTAAAACAGGGGAGAAGACCGGCAGAAACTCAGAGTTTAGAGAATAAAACCTGCTCCTGACTCCTGCTTTCTCGAGTTTGACCCAGAGTTTCTCTCATTTCAGAGTTAACATGCTCTGAGTTTTCACTTAACCTGCTTTCTGAAACGGGGCCCTGGTCTGCTAGCAGATCATGTTTAATACCCTTTTCCTCAAGAGTTTTCATTTGACCAAACCAATGATTCCCCAACAGCCTAAGTTGACCTTTTTCTTGGATGGCTCCTAAATACTCGAATTCAGGGGTGGCCAATCCTGTTCCTGGAGATCTACCTTCCTGCAGATTTCAGTTGCAACCCTTATCAAACACACCTGTCTGTAATTATCAAGTGGATTTCAGGTCCTAATTAATTGGTTCAGGTGGGTTTGATCAGGGTAGGAGCTAAACTGTACAGGAAGGTAGATCTCCAGGAACAGGATTTAGCACTCCTGCTCTAATTGGCCTTTTTTTGGACCTTTCCTAAACACCTGCATCCATTATCTAATGCAGGGATGGGCAAACTTGATCCTCGAGGGCCGGTGTCCCTGCAGAGTTTTGTTCCAACACTAGTCAAACACACCTAAACAAACTAATCACTGTCTTAAGGATCACTAGAATCTATAAGCAGGTGTGTTTGATTAGAATAGGAGCTAAACTGTGCAGGACACCGGCCCTCCAGGACCGAGTTTGCCCACCCCTGATCTAATGGGTCATCCCAACCGCTTATTATATTGGTGGAATATAGCTCATATTCAATGATCCTTTTTGGCAGATGCAGGTGTTCACTTATCTTAACCCTCTCATTAACCTTAGTCACCTTAGCTGAACTACTGGTGTTTAGCATCTCTTAACTGACATCTTTAAAAAACACTTTCAGATACCCATGATGATGCATTAAACGTGCATATTGATCATTGATTAATAACAACTGAATATTCATCATTAAACAAATAGATATGGGGTGGCGCAGTGGGTAGCACTGCTGCATCACAGCAAGAAGGTCACTGGTTCGAGCCTCGGCTGTGCCAGTAGGCATTTCTGTGAAGAGTTTGGATGTTCTCCCCGTATTGGTGTGGGTTTCCTGCAGGTGCTCCGGTTTTCCCTACAGGTCCAAAGACATGTGGTATATGTGAATTGGGTAAGCTGAACTTTCCGTAGTGTATGTGTGTGAATGAGTGTGTATGGGTGTTTCTCAGTGATAGGTTGCAGCTGGAAGGACATCCACTGCGTACAACATGCTGGATAAATTGGTGGTTCATTCCGCTGTGGTGACCCCAGATTAATAAAGGGACTAAGCCGAAAAAAAAATTAATAAATGAATGATAAAAACTCAACATAAACATTACAATTTAATAACAACCATCTGCATATAGTCTACATTGAATTATTTTATGTAACTGACGAAGGACAGTTAAACTCGAGGTGTAACTCCGCCTCATCACATCGGGTGTGCTTTATTTTCTAGTATATTTCTTGTTCATCCATCCAGCATGCCTGTCAAGACACTCGTCCCACGCAGAAAGCGATCGCCAATCCATCAGAGCCAATGAAGCAGCGCGGTTAGCAGAGGGGCGGGGTGGCTCCGCCTATACTGTCATTCTATTGGTCGATTTCTGGAGCAGATCATGTCAAGTGGAGGCGGGTCCGCAACGGGACAACCTTAATCAATATCCAGCGCGTTCTACATCCAAATAATAAAAGCATTGTTGATGCGTAATGTAACGTAATGTAGATTACGTAGAAATTCGAGTTCAGATGTGATCGTTTAATACCATTACAGGACCCTGCACGGGGCTGTACGCTTCAGTGGTGGCTGTGGTTTCTGCTTTAGTCTTTTACATCATGTTTTCATCCCAACTGGACACTGTGCTCGTTTCACCACAGATTGAATGTATTGCTAGTATAGTCGTTCATCATATCATAATGTCATTTTCATATCTCTCATGCTATAAACGACATGACTTACCTGATCTGAGGAGAAAGCAGCCTTAAAATCAGCGCGACGAGCCCTAAACCCGCCGCGAACGCCACGAGCGCGAGCATCATGACACTGCTGCTGCTGCTGTAACTGTACTGTACTCCAGTCTGTCTCTGTCCGTCCGAATGTGTTCAGCAGCCTCCCACTCACATCTACAGCTGTGCTCCCGGGGAATGATGGGATTGTAGTTTTCATTGTCTGCACCTGCACAAAAATGTTTCCTGAATGGTCATTAATTTGTTGCTGAAAATGATTGTAAATATTTTATTATTAAATATTATATTTGCAATAAACTACATGCTGTTTTATTGACATGTGTTGGGCCTTATTTTAATTATTGATATGTAGTAATAATGTATTTTTTCCTTCGCGTGTTTGTGTGAGAAAGTTTGCAGTATGCAACAACAAATAGAAAACAACAAAATGAATATAATTTAAAGTGAAATTGAAACTGAATAGTTTTTATCGTACAGCGTATCAAATATTATAGAGTGAATTATAGTACTATTAAGTCATTTATGTAAATGAATAGCAAATATGTAGGTAATATTTATTATGTCAGCTAAACTTTAATTGTTCGACGATTATATTTACGAAACAGATTAATTTGGGTTTTCCTAAAAATATGAACTACAACTCCCACACTGTATTTATGATGCGAGCTGTCTACATATTTGCTACGTTTAATTGAAGTCTACTTTTGTATCATTTTTCAAAAATGAAGTGCATTAAAATTTTAATTAAGCATACACATATTAATATAGAGCTGTTTTAGATGTTTAAAATTTTAAAACAGCCTTTAAGATTTTAATCTGCATTCTTGTTTGCAGGCAAAATCAAGACCGCCTATCATCACGAGGTCCAACACGGAAGCGTGAGCTGCAGTCCCGAGGATTTTGTTATTGCCCGAGAAGCTGATTTTTCCCTATTGTTTCGTACCACAACAGACTTCAAATTTTCGCTCTTTTATTCTGTTGTCATTTATTTTGTTTATTTGCTTTAGACTTCGTTTGTTCCACTATGTCTTCAGAGGAGTTTGAAAAGCTGCATGAGATGTATAAATCTCTGTATGACGAAGTGAAGTTGATGCCAGAACGGGTGCAGAAGAGCCAGGGAGGTGAATAAACTCTTTATACTGTATTATACGTTAACAAGACTGTGCGAATGAACTGCTTTCATCAGTGAATAGTCATTAACTTATTTTGAGTACTGTCATTAGAGATTTTCCAAACACTCCTGATATTGTAGCTGTGGATGAAGTATCGAGATTATGGAATTAGGCTGCTGTTCAGAAAAAAATGCTAAAATATCAACCATTAACAAACGCTTTGAAAGTGTGTGGCTATAGTTTTTTTAATCCACGGGAGTCTAGGACACGTTCATAAACTGGGTGCGAGGATTACAAATTGCTGGCTCAGTAAGAAAGACTGAGTCTAAACAAATTGCCATATACACTGCTTTGTGTCTGCAGTAAAAATGCAGTCTGCATATTTGGAAAAGACGATGTCATCTCTATCCCTAATTTGCAGAAGTGAGGTAAAGTTGGTTTTATATTTGCACATTCGTTAGTTTTTGACCAGTGGCAAATTGTGACTGTCTACTTTCAATAATGGCTGTGAGGCATGGGATTATGATTCAAAACGACATTAGCACATTTATTGACTGTGAACGACGCTGTACATTGATAGTCATTGGCTATAATATAATTTCCCTATTAAGAATTTTCAAAAATACTTTTCTGAAGTTATATTTGGAAGACTAAAGTCTCAAATGTGTGAATATAAAACAAACTTTACCTCAATATTTGCAGAGGGACATTCTAAAACGTTTAACGTGGCTTAATGTACTTGAACATCAACCAGAGAAACCCACATTTCTGTCGAGCTTTACTTGTAATTAACCCTAATGACTGTAAAATCAATGAGTCCCAATTCCCTAGATAAAATGTAAGACATCACAATAACCATTTTTCTGAAGTCTATTATAAGGAAAAAGCTTAACATGGCTAATGTACCTTAACAACAAGTGGGTAACATTTAGTTTCTCTTGGTTGTTGTTGTAAAGTCACGTTCAACCTTTTCTTATTATGGACTTCGATGGGAGGAAAACACTTAACGTGATATTGTTCACTTTATCTATGGAATTAGGGCCTGTTCTTTAGACAATAGTTAGTGTTAATCACTAGTAAAGTTTGACAAATTTGGGTTTTCCTGGTCAGTGTTAAGGTACGTTAAGCCAGGTTAAGCTGTTTCCTTATAATGGACTTTTACAGAGAGAACGTTTAGTGATATTGTTCACTTGATACAGTATACTAAAATAAAAGTTTGTTCTTTTAACAGAAGAAAGTGTTTATGAGTATATTTTTATATACATTTGATTGTCTCAATGTTATTAAGTTAAACCTCATTAAGGTCTTATAATGGATTTCAATGGGGATAAAACGTTTTAATGTCACATTGATCAATTAACTTCATCCACAGAATCAGGACTTGATCTTTTGCTAGTAGTTAAAGATAATTACAAGTGAAATTTCATAGATTTTTGGTGTGCTCTTGTTGAGGTACGTTAAGCCATGTTAAGCTCTTTCCTTTTATAATGGATTTGAAAAACGCATAACGTGATCCTTTTCACTTACTAAAATTAGAGCTCATTTTTTTGACATCAGAAAGTGTTAATCACAAGTAAAATTTGATAGAAATTAGATTTTATTTTAGAAATTAGATTTTAATTAGATGTACCTTGTTGTTAAGGTACATTAAGCTACATTAAGCTTTTTCCTTACAATAGACTACAGAAAAACGCGTAATGTGATGTTTTACACTTTATCTAGGGCAGTAGTTCTCAAACTGTGGTACGTGTATGCAGGCTTCCTTCTAGTGGTACACGGAGGAATCGCTGAATAATTAAAGTAAAAATGAGCACACTTTTAACCCTTTGACGCGTACGATAACGCCGATGTGATCAGTAAATTGATTTTAATAGGATAAACCTTTCATTTTATTTTCAATTTTCTAATGTTTGTTATGTATTCTATCATTTAAAGCTAATTTCCTCTCCATATTTGTAACAGTTGTAGGGGCTTATCCCATATTTTTATATCCCAATGTTCACAGGTATAGTTTAATCACTTGCTTTACTGACACACATAACCTACTCTAACGTGCAGTGGGCAAACTCATTTTTTATTTAAATATGCAAATCCAATTCATATATCTAAAATACAAGTTAACATTTAGATTTCAAAGATTTACAAAGTCATATATACATGCATCATATATTTCAAAATTTAGGATACTTTATGATAATACTTTACATTTAGGTACAGCAGTTTTCTCTTTACTTTTTAAAAACAGTGCCGTTTTTGATTAGCTTTTGAACGCACAGTTCAACAGCACAGTGTTAATGTTCAAACTACTTATGATGTTTAATATGGCTGAAAATAACAAATATTCATAATAATAATCAGAATTAATCTGCCACGCTTTTGAATTGTGCAGTGCTGTAGCTGCTTAATTAGGCCTACTACACTACTGTATTTCAATACTGGTCATTATGGTGGTACTTGGGAAGAATTTTTAATTGAGGTGGTACTTGGTGAAAAAAGTCTAAGAACCACTGATCTAGGGAATTGGGGCTCGTTCTTTTACAGTCATTAGGGTTTATTACAAGTACAATTTGACAGAAATTTGGGGTTCTCTGGTTGATGTTTAGGTACATTAAGCAACGTATTTGCACATATTTCTTTACAAACTTGAGGTGGTCCAAGCATTTTAATATTGTTCTTTAAAATATATATATATATATTCAGTGATTGTATTTATTTGCACATCACTTGTACTGTGAAACATAATAGGCTCTTTGTGATTATATGCATGCTGCATTGCTTTAACTAGTATAAGTCATTCCAAATTAAATAATCAATGTGTGTGTGTGTATGTGTGCAATGACATAATGTTGAATAATTTCTTTTGAGGCATTTAAACGCTTTAAATGAAACGGTTTCCTGTGTTTTTTATTATTATTATTTTCCGTCTATAGATATAAACTGTAAGAGTCAATGTCAGTTGTCTCCTTGTAGTGTTCATTGTGTTATTATGCTGTTATTGTCTTGTAAATATTGTCACATCAATAGCATTAAATAAGATGACTGAAATTAACCAGCACTTTGTTTTTATTTGTAGAGGAAAGGAAGAGAATTGTCAGAGACTTTGATGAGCGTGTTTCAGAGGCTGAAGAAGTGGTAAGTAATGATGTTCACTTTATTATCAGTCTTGATTTCTGCTTCTTAAAATTGTATCTTTTACTTGGTTTATGGATTTCCTCTTTTCCTGTTTTCTGCTTTTGAGCACTACAGGCCTAATTAATTTATTTAAATAATGCAATAATGTAATGTGTATGTGTGTAAATGGTAGTTTTTTTTGACAATGCAAAAAATAATAATGTTTTAAGATTAAGGTTGTTTCTGATCATAAACTTATAATAAAAAATCCTTAGTCTTTACTAGTATATGACAAAATAAATATTATTTTCTGTTTATAAACATATGCATTAGCATCCTGTAATAGCATTGTTTGGAGTCCCAAATGAGGACATGCATATAACTAAAGAATTAGAAAATGCCTTGGCTTTTGTAACGTTAATAGCTAGAAAAAGAATTCTTGTAGAGTGTAAATCACCAACTGTCACTTTTGCCTTAGTGATGTAACAGGCCTGTAGCTAGCCTGTTGAAAGGGATGGTTCTTTTTGCAATTGTTTGCCTCATTTTCTATTTAACTATGGGATTTAAATACTGCATTTTGTTGACATTTTAAGCATTTAATTTTAATGTACTAAATATTTCCTAAAGATTTAGTTTAAAAATGTGAATAAATATTTATTTTTAAATACAAATATATTATATCATCAGAAAAAAATAAAATTAAAACTAAATTAAAAACCGCAGCCTGATGTCATTTATTAGGCAAATAACAAACTGAACAGCACATTCACCTTTCCTCAGTCAGAATTTGGCAATTTTAGGAAAAAAATTAAAACATGAACAATACAGTAGCGAAAGATGCTTTTTACGTGAGTTTGTGTTTT